GATCCCGTTGCCGGTCCTGGTCCGGTGCGGGCGCGACACTGAGGGTTGCGATCCGTTGCCGGTCACGAAAAAAAAAAAAAGCCAATAAAAATGATTGTGTATGAGAGAAAACAATTCATAGCCTATGCTATTCAGTACATTACTATTTTCAAATGTCAGTAAGAACTCGAAGTCATTTTTTTAACAATTAAAAACATTTACAGGGCATGGGCCGGCCTGTGGCTCACTCGGTAGAGTGCGGTGCTGATAACACCAAGGCCACGGGTTCGGATCCCATATAGGGATGGCCGGTTCGCTCACTGGCTGAGCGTGGTGCTGACAACACCAAGTTGAGGGTTAAGATCCCCTTACCGGTCATCTTTTAAAAAAAAAAAAAAAAAAACATTTACAGGGCACTCACAAAGCAGCTACTTCGTGAGTTGTACACATTATCTAGTGAGATATTAAAACGTATTTTTTGAGGTTTTGAAAATGTTATCTAACATAATAGATAAATTCATAACAAATGAGAGAGTATTTTTTATAATGTATATCATTTTCCTTTTCTTTTGCAATAATGTGAGTCTCTCTAGAAAAAAGAAAGAATGTGCATCACTCCATTTGCCGTCTAAAATATTCCATTTTATAGGTATAGAGAAGGAAAGAGGGAAAAGTAATGACAAATTCATTTCTTAGTTGTTACTGATCAGATTCTTAGCAGCTGCCTCTTGGATGTTTTCTACAAAGAAATGATTTTTCTACCTGTTAATTACCTTGTGAATTGTAGATATTTCATTCATACTAAACAAAATCATACTTTGTGTTGAAATCACTTTTCTCTAGCTATTTGTTCAAGGGCTATGTGAGCCCTAAATTGTAATCGGGCTTCCATGGAATAGTCTTTGTAGTTTTTTACGTTGTCTAGGTTTTTTGTTGCACTGGAATAATCTCCTTTTAGATAATGTAGAATTCCCAGTTCATAGTAAGTATATGGCACCAAATAGTGGTCATATTTTAACAATTTCTCCTTTTGAATGACACGATTAAAGTAGTGCTCAGCCTTAGAATATTTGCCTAAGTGTTTCAGGCATAGACCTTTCAGTAAATTTAACAAACTTAGGTCATCTGTGCCATACTCTTCACTTGGATTTTCTTGTAAAAGGTCTTCTCCTTTGTCAATTATTGAGAGCCAACTTGAAATAAGCTCCATTTTATTGCTCATGACTCGGAAACCACTCCAGGCATAAATGAATTCCAGAAGGGGCTGGGCTGTAAACCAGCCTGTAGTAGTACCATAGCGTTGACCCTTCCCAGCACAGAACTTTTCTATTGGCACAGAAGTGCCTAAAATTTTGATTCTCAGGGTATCCACTTTCAAGAAGAGAGAGTTCATGTCCTCACTTACTGACTTCGCAAAATCGGAAGGAAGCAAGGGCAGCATTATAGCTTTACTGTACATGTATACTGCCTTGGACCACCTGCTGTGCTGAAACAGTAGATTGGCATAGTGGTAAGCCTGCTTCCAATCCTGCAGAAAAACTTGACACCACATGAGTTCCCAGAAACAGAGGTGATGAGCCTGCTTCCATTCACTCTGAGTAAAAACGCACTCCTGTAATTTTAACTGTGCATTTTCAAAATTTCCTTTCAGCATACAAAAACGTGCATGAAAAAATTTAAGTATGACACAGTTTGGAAATTTCTGGAGGTACATTAGAAAGAGATCCTCACTAGCAGAATCGTAAACCTTATCAACACCAAAAGCTACATAGATATAATTGTAATAAAAGAGTAGAGTAAAAACGCTTAAAATATCATTTACATGGGTTTCAGATGCACTCTCATGAAGCAAAGCCAAGCCTACATCTCTATCACCAGAATATCCTACAACATTGAGTAGTTTAAGTATCTTTGGTGGTACAAGTGAAAACATCAAATTGAATGCTCCAAGCCCAAATTTTATTCCTCCAACCAGGTGTTTGTGGGCTTTGCTTTGGCTGTTAGGTATCTCTGCTAATACTTGTTGACAGTCTTTGTATATTTCGTAACTTGACCCAATGCTGACCCCGCTTTTAAGAAAACTAAGTATACTGTCATCCTGTGTAAATGCTATGGAGGCTTTCAAGATCAAACACTCAGCATAACACACCTCTGCATGCAGTTCCTCCTCTTTGATAGCCTTTATTCCCTGTCTACTCACTAGACGAGATAAAGTCATTATCCTAGGTTTTCTTCGGAAATTGTTACAGGTTTTCAAAGCTTCCTTTGCGGCAGTCATTCCAACCTGTATATCCTGTGGGTCAAAAGTCAAGATGGCTTTGACAACCATAAGGATACCATACAAAAGGGCATGGTATGTGCTGTTTTTAGACCATGGATAAATAAGATTTATTGCATCTGAGAATCTGTTATTTAGAAATAAATACAATCCAGTTGTGCATTCTTCCAAGGAAGATATTAGATTCATTGTTGTTGCTACAGGTATAACATCATAGGCGTCTTCAAACTTGTCCTCCTGATCATTTTCTCTTTTACCTAGAGTAAATGACATACTGGCTTCCCCACTTAGAGATGGGAAATATCTGAAGTGGAGTGATGTGGTTGCAACGAGGGTAGCTCCTCCTCTCCTGACCGGGGTCACTTCCACACAAAGCTCAGTCTGAGGTGTTGCTGGTAAAATGGAGGTGAACGACTAGCTGTGAGGTGCAGCACTGGGATGTTCTCATCTATGCCAGACAACGGAGAAAAAAAGATAATTTTATACACCTAGAAGATGCAGTTCTTAAAAGTTCAAGTCATTTGGAACATTCTAAAGAAAACATGTTTTACTTTTTTTTGGCAGCTGGCCAGTAAGAAAACATGCTCTTTTTAAACACTATAAAGTAAACCCTTTGTAAACAGAAGCATTCTTTTGTAACCATCCCTCCACTATATCAATTTCATCAGATCATCCTATTGTGTATTTGTATTGGAGAACTGCACTGTGATAGCTGTAAAATTTCTCTATAGGAAGGCCTTCGGGGGCAAGAAAGGGGAATGTAGTTACATAGTTCTCTAGTTAAGACTAAGGAAGGCATGAATTGTTCAGAATATTAAAGATTATGGGAATGAAAAATCCATCCCATGCTATTCTTAGTACTATCACTGTATTTGCACATATTTTTATTGAAAACTAGGTCTTAATGAAATAAAATGTTATGATCAGTTGTATAGGACTTTGGACATGGAGAGAGCTGTTTAAATGAGAAAGATTTCTTAGCATTGCTGCAATTAGAAAAAAGAAATTCAAATGTAAAAGTTGTTATCATAGCATTACTATAGTATCCTGGTAGGAAATCTTTTTTTCTACTGAGTCATTTAACACCTGGAAGGTGGGGTGGGGTGGACACAATGGAAGACCAATTACAAATAGCAAACTATTTAATTTATTCATCATAACATAATAGGTTCAATTAATCTATTTTTTAAAGTAGAAACAGCAAACATGACACTTTAACAGTTATTATTACAATGCTTTAAAATAATTACAAGTATACTTTTAAATGTACCTGAATTTTGCATTTTGATGTTAAAAGACAGGAGGGGAAGGTAAAGCAGAGGAAAAGAATCAAAGGAAAAGAAAGAGAAAGCAGAAGAAAGAGACGCAGACTTTCACACAGAAGGAGAGAGAAAACAAAGCAGGAAAACATATATGAAAAAAAAGTTATGGGGAGAACAGCCTCAGAGGTGTTATTTTAGGTAAATGCTTGTTTTTTACACCTTAAAGTTCAGTTACGTTTCAGCGTATTAGCAACTGTAATCACTGCCCTTTGAAATGCCAAGTTAATTATGCATTTGTTTGAAAGGCTCAGTTCTGAGAGGGAAAGCCATGCAACCCATTAGGAGGGAAATTATTCTTGGGGTGGCAATAGCAGTGGCTAGATCAATGCTATGCAGAGAAACCTAGGTGACAGCCAGATTCACCCAAGGACAAAGCCATGCAACCCATTAGGAGGGAAATTATTCTTGGGGTGGCAATAGTAGTGGCTAGATCAATGCTATGCAGAGAAACCTAGGTGACAGCCAGATTCACCCAAGGACAAAGTTTCCTTTCCTTTGGCCTAAACCAAATGCTTTCAGATTATATCCACAGAATCCCTATCCTCCATTCAAGAAAGCTTAATTTACTTTTTCTGAAACCTTACCTAAGTCTGTTAGCATAATGACTCTCATGGCATTCCATACATATATCTCTATTAGAGTTTCTCTCAATGCATTGTAATTATTTATATACCTGCTTTTACCACTAGTCTGGGAGCTTCAAGTCATGATATGTCTTATAATCAGCTTTATATTCTAGTTCTAGCATACTCCCTTGAACAAAGTAGGCAGTAATAAATGTTTGGTAAATGAATTCAGGTGTCTGCAAAATATTTCTAAGGATTTCTTTCTTTCTTTTTTTTTTTTTTTGGTGGCTGGCCAGTATGGGGATCTGAACCCATGACCTTGGAGTTACAATTCTGGGCTCCAACAAACTGAGCTAATCGGTCCCCCCTAGGGACTTCATTTTTTTTTTTTTTTTTTTTTTTGGCAGCTGGCCATCGCAGGGGTTGAACCCTGGATCTTAGTGTTACCAGCACTGTACTCTAACCAATTGAGCTAACCGGCCAGCCAGCCCTAGGGACTTCTTGAAAGCGAATTGTGAACTCAACTTTCTGCCCCATAATTTTCAGATTCCCTACTCCTGAAAAGCACATAAGGATATAACCATAATAAATTTCCTATAACCAGATTTACTTGTACTTTTTCCCTAATATTTTTGGGATTGAGAGTCTGTTTTGTCCACTTCAAGGATTAATACTTGTAACAGTCAATAATATAAATTTTCAGAGATGGTGAGAGAGGGAGTACTTATTCCCTATTCAATTCCCATGAGGGGAATTTTCTGCTAGAGAAATACTCTTGGTTGGTGGGCTGACTTTTGGCTGAGATTTGAGAGAAGAAACTAGGCAAGTGTAGCTCTATGCCTTCTGGGTTCCTTTTCTGGGGGGAATCAGCCTGTCCAAAGTCTGATATCAAAAAACAGGAAGATTTTGTTTTCTGCTCTCCAGCTGTGCCTGGGACCAGGTGGGTAAATCTGTTTAATTAAGGAGTGAAGTATTAGTGAGCACACTTGGCAACACTATGTGAAGGTACAGTCACAATCAAAAAGATTGATTCAGTTGATAGTGACTCGTACCTCTTGCCATATGCCAAAACCCACTAAAAATGGATTAAAGATTTAAATATATGACCTGAAACTACAAAACTCCTAAAAGAAAACATAGGGAAAACACTTCAGGAAGCAGGACTGAACATTTTATGAATAAGATCCCAAAAGCACAGGCAACAAAAGGAAAAATAAACAAATGGGATTATATCAAACTAAAAATCTTCTGCACAGCAAAAAAAAAAAAAAAAAAAATTAACAGAGTGAAAAGACAACCTACAAACCGGGAGAAAGTATTTGCAAACTATGCATCTGACAATGGATTAATATCCAGAATACACAAGAAACTTAACAGTAAAAAAACAAGTAACCCAATTAAAACATGGGCAAAGGAGCTGAATAGGCATTTCTCAAAGCAAGATATACAACTGGCCAACAGACATATGAAAAAATGCTCAGCATCACTCAGCACCACGGAAATGCAAATCAAAACCACATTGAGATATCATCTCACCCCAGTTAACCTGGCTGTTATCAAAAAGACAGAATAACAAATGCTAGTGAAGATGCAGAGAAAGGGGAACCCTTCTCCACTGCTGGTGAGACTGTAAATTAGTACAGCCATTATGGAAAACACTATGGAAACTACAAACAACTGAAGATAGAACTGCCATACAATCCAGCAATCCCACTGCTGGGTATATGCCCAAAGGAATGGAAATTATCACCTCGCAGGGATTCCTGCACACCCATGTTTATTGCAGCTCCATTTACAATAGCCAAGAGTTGGAGCCAACCTAAATGTCCATCCACAGGCAACCAGATAAGGAAAATGTGGTATACATACACAATGTAATACTACTCCACCATAAAAAAAATGTAAATTCTGACATTTGCAGCAACATGGATGATCTTAGAGAAAGTTATGTAAAGTGAAATAAGCCAGGCACAGAAAGAGAAATACCACTTGTCCTCATTCATAAGTGGGAGCTAATAAAAAAAAATACATAAAAAAAAGAAAGATACAACAATCACAATAATTCATTGAACTTTTAAAAGGAGAGAACAGAACTGAGACTACCAGAGGCAGGAGCGGGGAAGGAGTGTTAATGAGAAAATGATTACATTGTGTAATGTTGAATATACTAATTATGCTGATTTGAGCATCACATATTGCACACATGTATTGATACTCAATGCTGTACCCCACAGATATGTACAATCAATTATGTTAAGAAAAAAAAATTATATTTTGGTCTTCTTCTACTTGACTCTTACATCTGTATCTCATTGGTTCTGAACTCAGGGAATGGAAAAGGATATTTATTAATCTCTAAAACCATCTGGTCTTCTTCTACTCTAGTATTTTCTATCTAGCTGGTTGGTACCATGGTCCACCCTAAACTCCTTTTCCTTCTCTCCTCCCATATCCTCCCAACAGTTATCAAACCCTACCAATTCTACCTTGCTGAATGAGGTGCCCCTTTCCTGTCCTCCAAATCACCCCGGGCATACTTCTCTAACATTGCTTATCACTAAGGTTATAACATGGTAAAAATCACAGACTGTGAAGTTACACTCTTTAGGTTTGAATCCTGATTTTGCCACTTGCTTGGCCTTACTGTGTCCTCTGTTTCCTCATCTGCTAATAGGGAAAAATGGTACCTCTAGTAAACAGTGGTTGGGAGAATAAGATGAATTAATACATGTAAAGCAGTCAGAACAGTATCTGGCATATATATAGTAAATGTTCAATAAATATTATTTTGTACCCCCACCCACTCTCCACATACCTAGCCTGGCACATAGCAGGTGCCTACTGAATTGTTTTATATGAGATTTGGGATTCAGACTGCTTTGGGCAGGAGTCCCGAAGCTTTTGGTAATAGAGGAAAAGTCATACTCCTGTTGTGCTTTTTGTTTGTTTTTATTTTTGGGCAACTGGCTGGTACAGGGTTTGAACTCTGGACCTTTGGTGTTATCAGCACCACACTCTAACCAACTGAGCTAACTGGCCAACACTGTTGCTCTTCTTTTATTTAAAATGTTGTCTCTGTCTGAAATATCTTCCCTACCTCTATGTGCTTGTCTAAATTTTCTTCATTTGGAAAGATCTAATAAGAATGGATTAGGAGAGGCTAATACTGAGCCATGGTGATCATTCAGTTAGGGGGTTTGAATAAGGTAGGGAGAGAGAGGTTGAAGATACACAAAGGAACAATTCAATAAAAAGGAGGCAGAACACAGGTGAGGGAGGAGAAGACTTGGATAAGATGAAGAAAACCTCTTCCACTAACAGAGAAGAGGCTTCCTTTTTGTCTTTCATTCAATGTGTATTTAATTGAGCTCCTTCTATGTGCTGA